ATATCGTCATTTCCGCCAACAATCACCACGGCCAAACCACCAAAAGCAATATCCTACCTTCACCATCATCATCATCATCATCATCATAATTTTCACCACCACCAACAACAGCCATAGTCATCAACAACCACAACAGCAACGCTAAAGTCCATCAATTACAGTTATGGAAATGACACCAACCCCAGGTCATTTACTGTCTTTGTAAAAGTCTTCACACATCTGGTGGGATTAAGCACTCTGACGTCAGTTGTCTAAGTTTGGCCCTGACCAAGACACTCATCTTGTCTGTCTACTTCGACGAGCTTTCACCGCCAAGTGTCGAACGCCAAATTATGACGTCAAACGTCAGGAATTTTCCAACGCTTTGTTTCCACTGGCCCCACCTGTTGCCCTTCCTTCCTCGTCACAACACCGTAAAGGGCCTCTGTTATTGTTCTGTTACCTCACTCTGCTGTATCTCTAACAAACGCTCCTTTTCTCAAGACAGAGGTTGCGATATTGTCCTCTTAAGCCGGGTGAACACTCATTCAAATAGTCACATCTCCAGGGTAGGGTTGGGAGCGGAAAGCAGGTGGTTTAGAGTTCAAAGTAGACAATCATTTTGAATAAGCGCTCACCCATGCATGATGTACTTCAACGGCAACGTCAAACCTATCAATCACTTTGTAGCTGAAAAGAATAACTATGCAAGTGTTAGAGAAACCCTTCATAGAAGCTAGAATAGATGAACTATTTAATGCATTACTATGTATGGGGAAAATTAGCTTTCTTTTCATTTTTGGTAGCAGAGCTTTTTATTGAGAGCTAAGAATAATAATTGTATGACTGAGAGCTAAGAATAACAATTGTATTACTGTGGTCATTGGTGGAGATGATGATGCTGACAATGGCGTCTCAGATATTGCTTTTGGTGGTGGTGTTATATATAACACCACCACCGAATATATTCGATTTGGGAAGATCGAGTCACATTTTTGTGTCAAAATGACATCAAACTGAGAGAATTCTGGACATAATTCTCGTCACCATTTTGCTGAATCATGCAAAAAATCGAAAGGCGTGGTACAAAATGTCCACACCACTTAAATCTGAGTGGAGAACAGTGAGCCGTCAATAACCCACCTTTTCACGGAGAGGGGGACTGCGCACCGTCTGCTGGTTTCCTCTCCAACCTGTGGCGTCACTCTCTCGCGCTCTGTGTGACTCACACAATAATGGCGTTCAATTAAGTTTGACTTTTGGTGGGCGCGAGTGACGAAACCTATCCTCAGATGGCAGGTTATGATAGATTACCCCCCGCGTATCCGTTTCCGCTGAACAGGAACCACCCTTCATCTCTTTTTATAGCATTTCACTGCGACCCGTTGCTGTTCACCTGTGCCCTTTCTTCTCTCCCCCCCCCCTTTTTTTTCTTTCTCGGGTTTTCTCTCCGTTCCGTACCGAGCCGGACCACACGTGAATGACTTTCTGGTGGGATCGTCGCAGAAACGCTTGAACGGACACAAATCGGAAATATTTGTATCCGAGGGCTGGTATGTTAAAAGGCCGTTCGACGTAACGAAGAGCGGCTGGTGCTTGTTTGTTTGTCATTTACCCCGCCAGCCTCCGAGTGCGCTCGTTTGTTGTACTCTATTCAGAGACGTAATTCTACTCTTCTCCGCTTGGATAATACAGTGACACGGAATGTTCATATTGTACTGAAACAGGATTGAGATGGAGAGCTTCGATACATTTACTGCCCGGTTACAGTCGACTGTTCTGACAAGTTTGTGTTACTTACTACTTATTTGTACACTTGAAAATCATCCACATTAATTATTCGTGTTAAGTTTCTGAGGGTTATCAGAAACAATTTAATAAATGATTAAACCAAAAGGAAATAATTTCGAAAGAAAATAGCAGATACACCAGAATTACGTAAACTAAAAATGAGATAAATAAATATCTGAATAAATATTGATAAAGAAAATGAATGACATGAGTTATAAAAAAGAAATGAATTAATAAAGAAGTCGATAAAATATACGTAAATAAGACTTAAGTAAATAAACGAATAAACAAATAAATATAATAAATGATAAATAGCTAACAAATAAAGAAGATTCAAAATATAATGACAAAAATAAAAATCTCCAAACAAGTACAGAAACAAATGAATAGATAAGATAGCAAAAGCAAAA